TTTAAATATTATTTTTAATTAAAATTTTAAATTTATTGTTTATTTATAATAAAACTTTTTTAAATTTATAAGTATTAAATTATAAATAAATATAATTTTTTATTTTTAAACCAACGGTTAAATAAAATAATTTAATTAAATTTTTAAAGTTTACTTTTAAACGTTTATTAATTATAAAATAATTAATTAAAAAAATTTATTATTAATAATAAAGTTTATATATAATAACTTAAAATTAACATTATTATATATAATATTATTTTATGTAAATTATAGCTTTTATTTTATAATTTACAATTTATTTATTAATATTTTTTAAAATTTAAATAATTAATTATATATATATTAAATAAAGTAAATTTATACCGAAATATAATAATATTTGGAGAAAAATTGTTAATATATAAAAAATTAAGTTAATAAAAAAAAAAATACTAAAATTTAAAAAAAGTTAATTAATTATATTAAATGGTAAAAATATTAAAATAAAACAATTTGTTAAAAAATTAAACAAAAAAATGTTAAACCTTTTTAAAATTTAAAAAATAATTTTTTTTATCGTTATTAAACTTTATTTACTTAAAAAATAAAAAATCCATAATTTATTTTACGTTTTATTTATTAAACTTTATTACGTTAATAATTAAACATTATTTAATTTTAACCAAATTTTATAAAAGGTAATTCCGATAAAGTTTAAAAAATATTACGTAAATAAAGTTAAAGATTTTATATAAATTTAAAAAAATATAAAATATTTAATTAAATAAAAAGGTTAATTAGTTAAAAAGTATTAAATTTAAAAATCTTTTAATTATTTCAATAGTAAAAACGTTAAATAAATAGTTTTAACATTTCATTAATAAAATTTAAAAAAATTAATAAACCTTTAAACTTTATTAAAAAAAGTTATACTTTTTATTTAAAACTTTAACTTAAAAATAAGTTTAAAAAAAAAAAAAATAATATTATATAAATAATAATACCAAAAAACTATTAATTAAAAAAAATAACTAATAAAAAATATAAAATAATTATTTTAAAATTTATTAAATAAAGAATATTATAAAATTATATAATTATATATAAACAAAGTTAATATATCGATAAAAACTTAATTAAACCGAAAAATACGTACTTTAAATTATTTATAAATAAGTTAAAATCTTTTTTTTAAAAAAAGGGAAAAACTAAAGACTTTAAGACCTTAGAAAATTATTAATAATCTTGATTATATTCCAAGCCTTTTACAGCCTTTATTACAATATTGGCATGGATTGTTTTCAGCTTCCGCCTGTTGAAGATTGAAAAGCTTCGAACATGCTTTGACTATAAAACCAAGACAGCACAAAGAAGACTTCGAATGCATTCATAGAGATTATGACATTAGAAAAATATGTGATGGCCTAGTTACTATTGTTGGCAACCGGTTTCCTGAAACATTTCCGTTTATAAACCATGCTGCGTTTTAGTTAAGCGTGATACTAATTCCTCCATCAAATCCAATTTCGGCTGACTTAACTGATAGTACCTAGGTCTAGTTCGGACATACATTGCATGTCGACTCCAAGCAACGATGGTATAGCCGCAAATCCAGCCCAAGTTTAAAATTCACTTTTTCCACAAAGCGTTTACAGTCGTAGCATTGAGGCCTGCTGACAACTATCTTGGCCTCCTTCAAGGAATGTTTCAGAGACTCTTTCCGTAGATCCACAAGCTTCGTCTTGCATTGCCCCAGAGTGAGCTTCGAGAACAATGACTCAACTTCCGGCTCCTCGGGGATAAGCAATTCTAAGAATAGGTGCTTGTGGACAAAGTACGTGATTAGCTGTTTCTCTGCGTGCCAAGCATTGTATTGCCCCGGTACGCCTTTGTCACGGTACTTATCAGGTTCTAGGTCAAATCCAACCTGTTTACACAGGCGGAGTACCTTCGCTGTCCAGTCTTGGCCAGAGACACGGATGTCTTCGCTTTGTTCATGCGACCAACCGCTCATGGCAGCAATTTCCGGAAGCCCTCCACCGCGGATCAAACACGCAACTGTCTTCCACTCTGTGGGAAGACTATAGTGAGTCGTTAGGGAGAGTGTTGTGCGGTCCTTGGGCGAGCGTTGATAGAAAAATACGTCTAGCTGGTAGGGACCTGGCTCGTCTGCCACATCTTCAAGAAGGAGGACAATGTCTTCGCGATCCTTATCCCTTGCATACGTATCTTCCAGAGAGATACCGGCGTGCATCCTTCGCGCCTCTACATTCTGCTCCAGCGGCTTTGCAAAATTAGCAGCGCAACGAAGTTGCCTGCCATCGATGCATTTCATGGACTTGTCAGCCCCGTACTTTAACAGGATGCCAACGTTTTCCAGCCGACCCCACAGTGCTGCCTCCATGAGAGCAGTTCGACCATCACAGTCCGTAGCGTTCGCATCGGCACCCTTCGAGAGAAGAAGTTGAACCATTTCAGACGATGGGTCGCGTGCGGCCATATGTAATGCGGTCTCTCCTAATGTCACCACCACGTTATTCCTCGTGCTTATTTCTTCGCTTTCATTATCAGACGCATCGTACTGAGGCCCCTCCCATGATTTGACGCCGTGTAGGAATATGTCGGCCTCTGAGGAGGACTCAAGGTACTCGCGAACATACCTGACGTTGCCAAACGCCATCTCGCTTTCTACATAGACTATCTTTCTGGTCGGGAAATCTTCAGATATGATCACGGTCTCTATTGCCTCTGTCCACTTTTGCTTCTTCTCGATCGACTCCCTAAAGGCAGCCCTCAAGTGGTCTGCCTTGTCCTCCGGGACATCATCTTCATCGTCATCGGGCACACGAGCTCCACCAGCTACGAACCGAAGATTATCCTTGTCAATCTCGAAGGTATCCGCTGGCAACACTGGGAATTGTATCTCGTAATCAAGGTAGTACTTAAGGTATTGGAATTTTCTGTTTCCGTTGCGGACTGGATCACAATGAGGGGCACGTCGATGGCGTTGGGAATAGTTCCCATTGAAGCCGTGGCGATGGATCTCGTTGCACCACGGGCATAGGATGTACATGTTCTGATTATCCCACCACTGTACCTTGATTTTCCAGGTTTTCTTTGCGATTTCTTCACTAGCCATTTTGTTGCAGTCTTCAATGATGAATTGGCAAGATTTGTCTCAACGTAGTTGCGTGATACTTCAGCACCCTTCAGTAGTGCGGCTTTGATACTCCCGCTTTTATCTCCTCTAGCATGGGGAGGACTTCCTCTAACCGCTGGAGGCGCTGTAAAGTGCGATTCGACAGCATTCCGCCAATTATTTACCGCTGTGGCGTGTCATGCTGCCCTTGGTGTAAGCTGATCACCGCATCCCGCCCTCCATTCCACTCATTGCTAAGGATCACTATCGCTCTCCTATCGAGAGCAAGTCGATGCCCATACTATCCGATATATTGAATTCATTGGTTGCTAATATCCCTCATCTGATGGTAAGACAGGTTGCTAATCAATCCAGTCTTCACTTGGGGATAGAGTAACTTGTATGTTGAGGAGGCGATTATACTAAGGATGATGGCGGCAGTGAGTCCGGGGAAACTCTGCTTTCTTGTTACATACATTTTAGGCCTCATTCCCACGATACGATACATTCTAATCAATTAGATCATCAAGTGTTATATAAAAAATACCTTTATTCCACCCCTTTAGGATACGTACCTACTATGTACCTCCTCAGCGTATTTTCTCCTCATCATGCAATTAATCAAATTGGTTCAGCCTCAAGTACATATATTAAATAATCAAGACATTTAAGCAATATTTACTGACTTATATTAATAACCTCGCTAAATGAGTATAGGGCTAACACTACTTATGCCGCCGCAGCAGCCGCCTCAGCAGCCAGAGCCTCCCTGCGGCTCTTACTCTCAGGGTCAAAATAAGGCTTCTCGCCCAAGCTCACCGCGCGGGAACCCGAGCGCTCACCAAGCCCCTGGTTAAGGTAATCCGGCGTAGCGGCGTGATAGACGCTGCGGTTATCCCAGATGGCCAGGTCGTTGGGCTGCTGCCAGCGGAAGCGGACCTGGAGATCGTGGTTCTCGACGATGAGCTGCACGAACCAATCCAGGAAGCTGCGCGACTCGGCCTCGGATAGTCCGTGGATGTGCTTGACGTGGTGCCCGACGGCGAAAACGCTCTTCCACCCGGTCACGGGGTTCGTGCGCACTACCGGGTGCACGGCTTCTAGGACCTCGCCTACGTTTTCGGGCGCACCGCGCGGCGCCGAGTAGATCTTGAAGTTATTGCGGTCTGCGGCCTCGTTGAAGGCCGGTTGTGCGTAGTATGCTGTTAGTGTGTCTAGGAAACCCCGCAACGGCTTCGAGATCCGGTCGTAAAGCTCGTAGCCGGAGGCCCAGAGGGTGTCTGTTCGACAAGTCAGTTTGAGGTTCCTTTTGCCCCTATTTGCTATACCCCAAGGAGGAAAATATTGATAGGTACGTACCACCTCCAGTCTTGGGTAGTTCAGTAAGCCTCAGCAGCGCATAATCGCTAGGAATGGGCTCGAATGTGATATCCGAGTGCCATTGATTCTTCTGCGACTGCTTTTTCTCCGCCCATACATCTTTCCTAGAGTAGAGCTTCTTGGCCTGTTGCGACGAGATGGTGCTGATCTCGTCGTCGTTGCCACCGTGCTCGCGACCGGAGTTGATCACGGGGTGGATGTGTAGTTTAGAGGTAGCCGGTTTGCCGGATAGCTCGCCGAGTCTTTGGACCAGCTCCTTTTGCAGGTCATTGGTGATGTTGTCCTGCTTGCGGAAGAAGACCACACCGCGTTGAGATACTAAAAGATATTTATTAGACTAAATCAATTCGCTAGGTCCGTTTCTTTCTCATACCTGTGATAGCAAGGTCACGGATGAGTTCGTCCGAGTTAGGGGCTCGTAGCCATTCGGCTAAGTCTACATCTATGAACTCCTTTCCAATCACGGGTGTGACATCAAACTGCTTGAACTGGTCTAAAGCACCGCTTAGTTTCAGAGGCTCCTTATGGTTCGTCTCAAGCTTTGGTGCTTCGTCCTCTAAGCTCGTCTCGCCGACCGCGAGAGAACTCTCCACCTTTGGGTTCTCTTGCGTTTCCTTATGGGTGTCGGGAACGACCTTCTGCTTGATATGCTCAGCAATTGTAGCAACGGCTTCGGTAGCTGATGGCGCCATTGTTCAGGATGCACGGGCGATGAGACGTAGATGAGGATAAATCGTCAGGCTCACACGAGGACAGCGTATTTCAATAAATATTGAATTTTCAACACCGGACTTTATATAAAACTTTATATAAATATCTCTAATTGAGGCATAGATAATAGCGATCTACCGAGCCCGGCAGGTTAGTAGATGGCGCAAGCGAAACTATTCTAACGCCATATGCTTAGATATCATTTCTTAGGTGGAGGTGGATTCCGGATTGGACAATACCTTTGATCAGATAAGGCATTTACATGCAAGATAGTATAGAGATGTCGTGACTGGCGAGGCGCATCTCGAATTCGCGATACTGGGGGCGATGCTGCTTTATGTGGGGGATTGTGACATATATAACCGGCCTGACGTGCTCGATAGCCGTCCGATCAACAAATTATCTTTCACTTAGAACGACAACCGATACACTAGGTAATTCCCCGCAGCTCCAACTTTGAGCAGACTATCGGGGCTGTGTAGATATTGTATCATTTCTGGGGTCTCAGCTTAGTTATTTGTGACGTTGCTATGCTCAAAGTGTCATACCGAAGTCTAGGCAGTAATTTAATATAATTCCTAGGCTTAATGCGTATGATACCCCCCGAGATAGGATGTTTCAATTACTATGCATTCGCAATGAGACTATAGAGCATGTTGATCTTAGATAAGAAGAATTATGCTCATGCAAGCAGTAATATTTTGTAATAATATCATATCATAAGTTATCAAGACAATTGTATACTCCTCAAGCTAAGGTAATGAGAATAATTTATCCAGGATCCCACGTCAACATGTTGACCAAGCCCCTATTTAAATAGTTTAACTAAATGTCTTCGCAGACAACATCACGTTGGCTAAGATTTTCGGTATTATATAGATCTATTATGTAGGTAACCTAAACCACTTATCACTACTACATATATCTATATCCAAGAGGGATTTCGAGATAGAAATTGTCTCTTATGGCCTTGTCTGTCTGTCACGTCTTCCTATTAGTATGAAGTATCGAGGAGTAGTCGCGTGCAAGTAATCTGCTTCGCATTACAGTCGTAATGAGACTAAACGAGTGTCCTTTGGTATGATAGTACACATCCTCCTTCTCTCTCCCTCTCTCTCCCTCTCTCTCTAGGCATCTATCCTGAAGAATACATTGACATATATCCCAAAGGCGGTGACATGGGCAATGAAGGAAGTTCCACGGCGTCAGGAGGTTTGGAAAATGGTTGATAAGGTGCAGGGACTTGACGGTCAAGCTGCCAGCGAAAGTGAGCATCCCAATCAGCACATCGGCGCGGATTCTCAGCAACGGAAATTGGACTTTCAAGGTCTTCGAACCAACTGTGAGTCAAGACGGTAGTATCTGCGTTGCACGTTACATATTGACGTAACGTCTCGACACAGTGGTCCCAATGTGAAACCCGCCTCTCGGCGCTCTGATTCCACACTACGCTGCGCGTTTGGTAATAATCCGGGTGCAAACTTTGATGGAGTATATATAGGCAGTGAAGGTAATGGTGGCTGGCAAGGTATACCATATACCCACCACCGCTCTCTGGTGGCAAACGCATAGAGTCCGGCGAGCCTCCTGCTCGGCGTAGCTCTTCCTCACTGAGGCCCATCATGCCCACTAACACTCCCATCGCGTCAGCGACAGTAATACCCATTCGCCATTAGGATAGAATTCAACTTACCGCGCAATATGGCCGTCCAGTTACTGTCGACGTATTCAAGAGGAGTCAGACTGCTCGGGCTGAAAGGCGACCATTTAGTGTGATTAAACTGAGTGACTCTAGAGCCGGGGTTTGTCTCCCCAAGAGCAGGGGCTATGGGACGTCTGGGTGAGCAATGATAGAGAGAAAACATATCTACGTGTTAGAAAGAACACATACAATAATAATAATAGCTTTCGATGTCAAGGTCGCATGACTGTTTCTCAGCAGCGCCGTATAGCCAGACACCGACGATGGAACAAAGCAGAGTAGCAGTAAGGACATAATTAATGATACGATGTACCGAATCATATCTTCTGAGCCTAAATGGTACTAGACCTTGCGCACTTCCCGAGTCACTGTCGTATATCGACTTCTCGGACTCTAGAGAAATTTCTTCGTTAGTTTTGTAGCAGCCCATCATAGTCCGTGGGAGCATGGTTCGTGGGAGATAGAGAGAAGAGAAAAGAAGCACGAGAAGCCAGACAAACCCCCCTTAATGAATTCAACACTTTGATAACCTACTTCAATATGATCGGATGTAGGCACAATCCTTCGATACCTTTTGATTGGTCTGCATGTTTCTACGTAGGACGATAGGTATCACAAACTGTGGTTGTCTCATCATGGAAGCTTGCAGCTATGTTAGAGGGCCTGTAATACTAGCGAACAGACTAAGGAATCTGTTAATTACTCATTCAAGAAACATCCTTCTCCTTCTCAAGTGCGGTCATACGATAATAGGATTGTCTCGGAAGGGGCGTTTCTGACCGGTAAATTATCTGTCCCGACGCAGATCATAGTCTTCCGCTCAACAAGCATCCTGGATGTGTATATACCTAGGCACTGCTGTCAATCTAGCGTTGGCCTTGATCTCATATGATTCACTTTCACATTAACTATCAAAAGTCCTCTATAAGGCCAATCCATTATCAACAATTCCGCCCATTACGTAACTTTGGTTACCAACATGAAGCCTATTTTTATCGTGCTTGCTCTGAGCTCTACTGCTATGGCTGCACCTTTAGGAAGTATGCATTTTATAAGTAGGTAGATATGATTACTTGGAGCAGTCTACTAATCAACTTATTAGGGATCCTCAGCATGGTGAAGCGAGTACCTGATGTCGAGTAAGATCTACTAGACCTATTACTAAAGATACCTAATAATTATAACCCTAACGTGTCCTTTGGTTAGTCGAGAGGTTACCGAGGCTGGCTTCATTGCGGTGCCTACAAACGCTCTTTGGAGTATTCCTGACGAAGAGGACATCTCTAGTATAGACGAGTCGGATTAAACGGGATGTGCACAAGGGTAATAGAAGGTTGGGTTAATGCTAGCAAGTTGTTCGCTGCGTGGGGAAGAAGATATCTCAGTATGTAGTACACTTGACAGTAATTTAGGTACTCGTAGTGAAGAAAATATGATTATCCTTCCTGCGCCACTCGCACATTTATTTACGAGTTGTCTCGTTCGTACTGATATTTGCTAACGACTGAACCGTATTCATCAAACCTGACTGGCCCATACTTGTTGGGATTTTCAGTTGTAACGAAGCGTGGTAGGGTTTCTACCACGTGAGTGAAGTCAGGAGCAGTAAAGAAGGGAATGGAATAGCGAGCGGGGATACCCGTCTCTGGTACTTTATCGGCCTTGGGAACTGATACTCGATGCAGGGCAGAGATAAAATAGTCTATATTGGGGTATATTAGCCATATATTAAGCGACTGATGGAGGGTTAGGAACCAATATATTACCCACCATTAGTAAAGCGTTGGAGCATGTCACCAATATTCAATATAAATGTTCCGTCTTCAGGTTCTGCATGAAGGAACTCTTGTGATCCGGGGCGCTTTAGCTCTAAACCCCCGCCACCGTCTTGAAAAAGGATCGTGAATGTTCTATGATAGGTGTTGACATTAGCATATATCTAGTCGCGCTAAGGTTGTATATTCGAAAAGCTTACCCCCAGTCTGTATGGGGTGGTAGGCGTGCTATTAGGTCATTCTGTAACTTGTCTTTGCTAACAGCAGGGTAATGCAATAGGCGCAATTGGCAATGGCGGTACGAAATCAACCTATCAAGGGCGGTACGTTCTTCATCGTTAAGGCCTAAGCCAACACCAATAGCCTGAAGCAAGACCTCGCTTACACCGGACAGCCTCTTGTAGAGGTCTGTCATACGACGCCTGAAGTCGGGGAGTATATCATCGGGTAACCATATATTCTGCTGCACGGGATCGTCCTCACTTCCTATCTCATAGCTCTCCTGGTACTTGGTCAGCATCCGACGGGGAACGAAACGCCCGGTTAGGTAAAGGGGGGTAGGACAAGGGTGAGGTTGGACTCTATACCTTGAAATCAGAGATCTTTCGCAATTCTTGGGCAAGGTTGCCGGCCGCTGCATTGGCCTCTACATCTGCTGGGGAATAAACCTTCTCTCGGCCGATTCCTGAGTAGCCTCGGTGGGGCATGTTTCCAGGGGGGTGGGGGGCTTTCATCTTGTCTTCATACGGCAGATCGAAAAGCTTCTTGGACCAAGCAAGAGCAGTCTCAATTTCATGTTTTTCAATTCCATGACCTGTGACTTTGACAAACCCTAGAGTATGGAGAGCCCTGACAAGAGCCTGCCCAGCTCTGAGAAGTTCCAAATCAGCGAGGGAATCGCTAGCCTCAGTAAGAAGAGGGGAAATGTCAACTGTCTGGATAGGGCCTTCTCCAACGTGAGAAGGATGATGCGCCATTGTTTCCGTGTAATCGCTATAGGAAACGACGTTCAAGCCACACAGGTGTACAGGTAGCTAAAAAGACTAATGATCAAGGATTTGGGTGCTGGGGGCAAAGAAAAATGATAAAGTTGTATAAACAAAAGGGAATGAACGCAGTCTCGTGTGAGTAATACCACGTTATTAAATGATAGGAATTATCTCCACGTCACTACAGTACCTAGCTTGATTGGCATATATTATCAGATTCCGGATACGGGACTATCTATATATCATCCCTTGCATCATAATGAGCATGCTTATCTGCGGTGCCTATCCGCTACGAATAATAACTAAAATGTAGTACAACCCCAAGAGTGATAAGAGAATATGAGGCGTCAATGTCTCAATAAAAAGCGCTACTACCTCGGATCCTACCGGGTACCAACAGACAATATAGGCTTCAAGCTGCAACACCAGGTGCCCAGAGTGGATATAATTCTCAAATGTTGGCCGGTTAACTATCCTGTACCAAATTCACCAGTATAGGCATCTAAGCAAACCAACGGCGCCTCAGTAGGCGACCCCCGAACTTTGCACCGAACACGAGCTCACCCGGAGGAGCCAACGGGAGCGGCTGGAACATCATCATGTGTGCCTTTTAAGGTTAGATTTGCAGGATATTAAAAGACCAACACACAGTATGTATATAGATAGATATTTTGTATATTAGTTTTTAGATAGCTCTGCACGCCGCATACCCCTAGGGAGGTCTGCGAGGGCTGGTCCTTCCCCCTCTCCCTGGCGTTAAATATACCAACCAACCAACCAGTATAGGCATCTATATCATCCGAGTGGCGCTATTTCTATAAATACCTCGTGTGACTGTCTGTCTCTAACAATATGGATGAAATGAGTGATCGACAAAAGAATCTACTCATAGAGGCTTAAACACAAGATTTCCCTTTGGCATATATTATGTTACTAATCCAAGGCCACAAAGAAGTCTTTTGATATCCGGTATTGCCAACCTCGCCTTTCTATATTCACATTTTACAACATTCACTCATAAAATATGTCTGAGGCTGGCCAAGGCATTTCGTCTGAGGGTCTTTTGGTACGTAATCCTTGGAATATCATATGAAAGGCTGCAATTCACTATATAAATGAATACAACAAGTATATAGGTACTTATACGTCTAACATTTGCCTATAGGTGGTTATCTGGACGCTGGCCAGCGTATCGACCGTGTTGCTTGCCGGCCGCTTACTCATCCGAAGTATTGTACTGAAGAGTTTCCACTTGGATGACATGTTCGGGGCCATATCTTGGCTCTTGATGATGCTTGTTATGATTATCGCGACAGTTGAGCTCCCACTGAGTTATCAATATTCTTCGATTTTGATAGGCGAGTCTCCAGCACCCCCTGAGTCCGAACTCGAAAACATGGCCATTAGGCTACGCAAATGGGATGTAGCCTCCGAGACGTGCTTCTGGACATCGCTTTTTTGTGTTAAGCTTTCCTTCATGTTTCTTTATAAAATTGCTTTTTGTCCTCGCAACAAGTACAATCGTGTCTGGTCATGGAGTCTGATTTACATCGTGCTTTGTTATGGGACTTGCCTTATTGGTGTGTACGGCCAGTGTGGTGACGCAATTAATCTATTCTCTTACGGTTCGTTCAACTGCACAAATCTATTCTGTTTGAAACTCTTTGTACTAACTGAACTACCCACAAGAGGAGTGTATAACGCCCTATGTTGCATTGCTTCAGTCGAGGCTAGTATGGGTCGATTATTTCTTCAATGTCACCTCTGATATTGTTGGTTAGTTCCTAGAGCCATGATATTATGAGGCTTTGAGCCGAACAAAACTACCTCTTGCTGATATTTCTAGTGATTGCGCTTCCGATGCCTGTGATTTGGCGCTTGAATATGGGCACGAAGCAGAAGCTTGCTCTATCTGCCATTTGCAGCCTGGCAATGATTACAATTGCATTTGAGACAGTGCGATCCGTAAAATTACACCAGTTGGACAGTCACCTCACCAACCTCTACAGCTATCTTGAACTGCTGGTATCTGTGCTTATTAGTCAGTTACCATCATACCGCTTCTTAATTTCCCCCTCAGAAAAGGACCGCGAATACCGCCGCCTATTTTGGAGTCGTGTTACTATGAGGAGTTACCACTCCGGCTTTTCAGGATACTCCATGCAAAACTTTGACCGCACACCGCGTGCGACCGAATCTTGGGGGACTACCCACAGTACCATTAGAGGTCGAGAGGTGCCATCTCCAATTTCAATTAATACCAAATAATAATTCCCAATGGTACTGTTTACATAGTATACAAGATGTCAGAACAGCAAGAAAGTTGACATGGTACAAGCCGGACGCGGGGTGGAATAGAATGACCAAGACGTTCCCTATCTGATAATATTTTCTACCTAACCAACTTGTTGAGTTATACTTCGTGTTTTCGCAGTACTCTCTTCAGTTCCAGTTACATTTTCTCACAGATATCATCACCTTTCATCCCATATTTAAGATTAATTCAGGATAGTAAGGGGCGCTCGTCTGTCAATATAAATGTGTTCAATCTTCCCAAAGCACTAAACCTACCTTCTTCTAATTATAGTACTTCAATTCCTCCAATCCTATACCAGCATACAGTCAGGCAGTCAATAATATTCCACCTCCATGGGCTCACATGTCCCCGTGTCACGTGACTGTGTCACAACTAATCGCAGGAGCTCGATCCTAACATCACTATGTTCAGCCATTATGAAAGAATTTCACCTCTAACTTTCGAGCCTTTTCTTCATCCCCAAATGGTAAGACATCTAAGTAGAGGCTGATCGTGCGACACGTCTTTTTGGGTGGTAACGTGCGCCCCTTTTCATGTACTTGATAAGACGACGTTAGGTATCGCGATATGACCAAGCCAGTGAGAAATCGATTATATTATATTAGGTACCTCAGTGACCGCGAGATTAACTATTTGTAGTTGTAAACTAGCTGCGTTACCCGTTCGCGCAAGCGCTTACGGGGAGTGCCTAGCTTCAAGAGTGCCTTTTACATACGCCACATATAAGTCTGGCCTCTGATTGGCTAGCCACACACCAGCGCACGTCCGATGAATCTTTTGTAGAATCAATTGAATTGCTTTACCTTTGGATAAAAGTTTTAATAATTAATATCGTTGGATAAAGCGCGTTTTGCATGACATTTCTATACCATTTGCACCTTTTACAGACCTTGTGCGATAGAATGGCAAAGGAAAAAGTCGCAAACTGCGGGGCGATTTTAAGTATTTGATTGGTTGAAAAAATTGTAGCAGTACTAATGAAATATATAAAAGTTAATATGCCCGAGTTTACGAGGGGTTATTGTGTCGAATTTTTTCCATGGCCCAAATAGGAAAGTAACTCAATGGGTAGTATCTGGCACGTGCACCATATTTTAAGCGATTTAATTGGGTGCACGACCTGTATATATGGGGCATGGCTTGGCATTTTCGTCGAAAACCAACTCCGAAGGTTAAAATCGCTCTGATTGGGTGCATCACTTGGATGTGGGTCCTTTGATAAGATAACACCACGTGACCACGTAGCCGCACGTGACTCAAACACATGATCTGGCGATAGGCCACCAAAAATAAAAATGATAAACTTTCGCTTACACTTTCGCTTTCGCTTTCGCTTTCGCTTTCGATAGAGGCAAAGGCGGCGGCGCGAAACGCCGCTGACTTTGCCTGTTAAGTCATGCGTTAATTAAAAAATAAATAAAGGTGCGAGGTTAAAGAATCGAACCCGGGGCCTAAGAAAATGTGGCCGGGATAACTTCGGGGCTATGGTATAGCCAGGCGATTACGTAAGGGTTGTTACGTAAACTCGGGCTATTGTGCAGCCCGGGGGGTTGCTTCCTGTTGAAAAATACAATCTTTTTGCCTACGATATTTACGAATCATCTTAAGATAGACCTTTTTACAAGTACAAGTGTTACGGCAATAAGGTCAAAAATGAGTTGGGTCGAGCCAAAACGCTTTTTCAACTCTGCAAAATTTCTTCCATGATTATAGTTAAAATAAGTTAAAATTTTATGTTCGAACATAAATGTGATTTAAAACCTGGGAATATTATATTATACATATTCGTCTTTAGCCAATATAATGCGGTGGGTGACCTTATGACTATAAGACTTTAAAATGCTCTGCCTGTATTTATTACTTAGGTAAGTAAGTAGGTATGTATAAATTATTTTTAATTCAGAGTACATATTTAACATAACTCATCACCAGCTATCAATCGTCGTAAAAATCCGATCGAGGGGTAAGGTACAAAGTGATGGGATAATGCTTTCGTGAGAACAATAGGTAATTTTCCTACTATGGTCAATGATTGGAAAATGAACACGTAAATAAAAAGGAATAAAAATACAATGTGGGAGGATACCTTCGTAATGTCGCTACATAACGACATGACAGCTAGCACGTACCTAACATCCCAACATCACCGGCAAGTATTTTGTCACGATAAGTTAGGTAAGTACCTACCTAGGCCATGTTACAATGAAAAGAGCTTAGGTATTGTTAGATAAATTGATCTATTGAACTAACTAATAAAAAAATGAAACATTATTATTTTTTTTTTACAAACACTCAAGATGAATCTGAATGTCTGAATGACACGTGACGAGCAGTCACGTGTTGAGATGTACTAAGGTACATCTCACAGGTATGTACGACAGGGGTATTGACAATAAGCCTAGGTGAAATACGACCATAACAAACAATGACGTTGCATGTATTAGGTATAATGTATTTTAATTGCGGACCATCAGGTGACCGTTTTTCCAGTATCATAAGTGACAAGATTTACGGAGGAAGCTCAACCTTTCCTCCCTCAAGGATTTTGCAAGGTGAAAAAAAAAGCCCTTCGTTTATGAGAAAGGCTTATCATTACTCGGTGTAAAAGGAAGTAAATTAAAACTTCCTTCCTATTTAAACCCCGTAAGTGACCGTAATCGCCAGCTAAAGTTTGGATTGACACTTACCATGAACAGATTTGTTGCTATTTTGCGATATACCGTTTGCCAATAATATTCAACTAATATGATAAGAACGAAGCCAGGTGTCTGCTTTCTGTGGATCCCTTCATACTACCGTGCGCTGAGAAGTAACTAGAAGGAGATTCTGGACACGGAGAATTTGCCAAGCCAAGACTTGACCCGTACAAACGATAGGCGACGAATCGGCCGTTCGTATGGGAAGGGGCCTAGTATCTTCTCCTTTCGGTATATCGTTTAAGATACAAGGCTAGGAGGTGGTATAATTCGATTCCTTCTCGATTTATCTTGGTAATGTGGGAATTCACATCAATAAGCGCGTAAAAGTTGATATCATCTAAAGATCAGAAGCTCACTGTCAAAGGCATCCTCGTCCTCCATACTTAACTTCAATTACAGAAAGGGTAGTAACACATACATGCCTCATAGCGTACGAAGGAGCAGATTTGTAATATTTCTCGCCTCCCAAATCAATACGACACTACTGTCAAGCCTCCGTAAGAAAGTTGCTATCGCAGAATATAGTGTGGATCGACAATCGAATATGAAATACCTATAAGGACATGTTAGTTGAGACACTTTGGCCACGAACGCAGATAAGATACCCGAGATAAACCTATTTCCGTCGTGACATCAATCTAAATGCCTGTATAATTCGCTGTGCCTGAAGGAACGTCGATGTTGTCCAGCCTTCAGATATAGGAGGCCCTTCTAAGCGAACATACGTTCGCAGGATCTGCCAATTACGTGGGTGGGATATAACAGACAGAACCCAGATCAGCGATCAGTGACATCAGTATTTCACATGGAAACAATATCAGGTCAGCTTTTCTTTGCCTTGTCGCGACGTGGCCGTAGGCATTTTATCTTCGCTTTACCCTACGTCGCTAGTAGGGATAAGATTGGTCAACCCCGCTTCGGACAGTGTTCCGGACAGAGAACTCTACATATGCTATCTCACTACTACCGCTTGGACATACGTTTGATATACGGAACCCGAGACCTACATACGTACACCAACAAAAAGTTCTTCAAGGTAGAATCTCGATATCAAGGCACGCGAGACTTATAACGAAAGTTTAAGGCATGTTAGATTCACCATCCAATCGATAAATCAGCCGGGGACCTGGAATGGCGGTACCCTAAAGGTTCAGGCATCATCCCCTTAACTAGCATAAGACATCACCCCCCTGGTAATCGGTAGAATACGTAAGGTTCAACGCGACTCATTGACATGAAATGAAAAGACCTTGCAATATGCCTCTATAATAAATATGATTGGCTAATCTAATAACGTATAACCAGTTTATCTTCCTTTATCTTCCTTAGCCAACCTTAGTGTACTAATACTGAAAATAGTGGAGGTGATGTCTTATGCCAGTTAAGGGGATAATGTAGCTGTATGTGGACGCGAATGGTTATGTTTTACGCCATCTTGCATAGTTGGTTTCGGTATAACTTCCCTTAAGAAACCAGATCACAAATTTCACCCCTGTTTACGAACAGTTAGGTATTACTCATTTGCGGCATTTGTTTCCAATAGAAATATCCAAACAAGATAGGCAATAAATGTCAATCCCTTCTTTGCATATGTAGATCAACGTGTTTTATTGTTTGATCTATCTTTTGTATTCCCTACCTTTCCGCCACTCTACGTACCGGGGTCAACCTCACACACCGGGATACAACCAGTATTTATTAGGATGGATCTCTCGTCCGAATTGTATGTAGACCCAAAATCGTTAGTCCAACTACGAATGGACTTGTCAGCCTTCTCGTCTCCTATGCGTGACTGCGTCTCTATATTGTCTTTCCACGCACCACAACTGCCGATGGAATTCATAGACGGCTCGCTGGGGTTCCAGAAAACATCCAACATGGATGACCGGCACATCGGGCAAGATAGCCCTGCAGATATAGATTACAGTGTTGTTGGTCCCAATATAACCAAATACGTGACACTGCCCATGGACCTCGACTATCAGCAAATAGGGTCGGCACGAGAATATCGCAATGATACAATCCAGAGGTCACAATTCAGAAACAACAACAAAAAGCACGAGGACGATATGGTCTTCAAAAGAGATACTATAAACCAAATCAGATCGCATAGCCGCCGGTCATCGCGATCAAGTAATAAACTGACTAGCGATGAGTCTGGAATCGAGAAACGTGAGCGAAATCGTATGGCTGCCACGAAATGCCGAAAGAAACAGAAATTGGCAAATTCGGAGCTGCAGGAAAGGGCACGAGTTATAAGCGAGCAGCACAACTACCTCATCGCGCGCAAAGCTTCCCTCGAGTTGGAGATGATCAACCTAAAGAACGAACTCCTGCTCCATGGAAGCTGCGGCTACGAGCCCATCACCGATTATCTGATGCAGACCGCGAAGAGATTTGTTAGAGGACGCGAAGAAGGGGTTCAGAGCAGGGATATGGCAGAGGGACCACACGAGCGACTATCTTATACTGCCGCTCGTGAAACTTGTATACTATGACAAGTTTGGCCACGTGTAACGATGACGATTAATGACCTACGAGATTGACGAAAGGATAGTTCGCCTATGGAGATTGCAAATGTTGTGGCATGCTAAATATTATTGTATAGATACCAAAATGCCGAATCATCTTCCATTCTCCGAGACCCTATATCATTCCAAACGAGCATTAGTGATGATAATAGCCATTATCGAGAGAATGGACCCCTCCACGCACTATATATATCCAAATTCCGATGTTGAAGTTCGTACAAATACCCCCTTTCAGCCGTTCATGACAATACCTCCATTGGGGTGTACTACAATGAGTTAGCAATTGTCTCTTCGAAGCGCATAGGCGTAGTTTTTAAGCAAATCTCGTGAGATGGAGAAGAGGACTCTCGGTGTCACGTACATGTTTGGCCGCTCATGAACGTGCTCTCGCTCCCCGCGAGAAACACGTAGCTTGTCGCAATCTCACTGGGCTGTCCGAGCCGCTCCATCGGTGTCGAGTTCCCGAGACCTTGCCCCTCTTGACCTTGCTCGCTTACTCCCGTGGCGACGAGAGGAGGCCAGACGGGACCGATAGCTACGGCGTTAACCCGGATCCCCTTCTTCACCAGTTGGTTAGACAGCGCTCGGGTAAACGCGATGACGGCCCCCTTGCTGGCAGCATAGTCTACGCGGCTAGGGGTGCCGATGTAAGTGTCCACCGATGCGCTGTTGATGATGGCCGCACCGCTAGATAGGTGTGGCAAAACGGCCTTGGTGACATGGAAAAGAGGATCGACGTTGGTGCGCGAAGTCGCCGACCACTGGTCTCTATATTGATGTTAGCTAATAGGTACATTGGAAACTGATCCGGTCAAGCACAGCTTACTCGGTAATATCATCGATGTCTCCTGTCTCATTCCTTGTAGCCGCATTATTGACCAAGATGTCGATACCGCCCAAGACCGTCACGGCACGATTCACTAAGGAGGTACAGTTCGCGGCTTGGGTTAGATCACTAGCGATGAGATGGATCTCACCCTCGTCCTTCTCCACCTGCGCCTTGGTGTTCTGTGCATCCTCTTCTTCTTCGGGGGGGTAACTGATAACTACTCGAGCGCCTTCCAACGCGAAGAGGATCGCTACGGCCCGACCGATCCCTGAGTCGTTCCCTACGATGATGGCTTTCTTCCCGGCGAGCTTGCCAGAGGGTCGATAGAGGGTCGGTCCGGAGTCTGAGTCTGAAGAAGAGGTATGAATCATGGTTGGCTTCGGATCTATGTCTCGACTAATCGTTTACAGGGCCGGCCTAGCACTTCATATACTCATCGGTGCTCTTCTCATACAATACGTCAACTTCATGGTGAGTAGTATTCATTCGTCGCAATATCATCACTACTCCTGGTATTACTGTACATTTAGTTACTATAAAGTAATCTTATGAATACATCATGCTGTTGACAGAAGGACGTCTCTGAAAACAGGGCCTCGGACTCCGATCATACGAAACGCCACGATGCAGCGGTTAATTGAATTGCACTATCACTACGTTGTTTGGCGTAATATTACTTGAATCCGAATATTATCCTTGCAATACAATTATTCACAATGACATCGTCATATAATGTCATCAGTCGCAATTCCTGAGTGCGAGCCGATATCCTTTCCCAGTTTCTACGGAGCGAGCTCCGGTGTCATCCATGCACCTTCACGCTTGAAGCCAGAAGTACCCCCTTATCTCCCCTTAACTAGCTCTCAACAGACTGACAGACCATAACGGGATTATCTCCATAGAACTAGCATGAGTATTCTAGGTAGTCGACCGATTCTATTGGATATCAATTATGTAGCCGTGGTCTGATAGTGGCGTTCAACCATATTTCTAAGAAGTTTGGTTTTCTGGTAATACCACGCAGGCTCATGCATCCGGCTTCTATGTACTACCTATCTCTACATACATAACACGAAGAGGTAAGAATGACCTATTATCTTACTGCGAGCGCCATGCGGCTCAGAGCCTTATGGAGGCGCGGGGCAATTACTCAACAATATAATTCCGGACCGTCGCCGTGCAATAAGGGCTTCAATGGACGATTATTGGTCCGCGAAATATACGAATCACACTCGGATATCAGCCAATAGATTTTCTCCTTTACCACCACAAGCCCCCTTTTTATACACCCTTTTTATACTAGTGTGCTATAGGTATTGTTACCTAAAGTACCAACTATTGAGAAGAGTACGACTAACTTGAGGCCCCGATGTTATTTTTATTTCCACAATAGTCTCTCTAACGTCTTATTATACGATTAAATAAAGACACCGAGATAAAAGATCGTAAAGCATTCATAAAAGTTCAGGGATTGAGTTAATAATTTTAGCAATGGCCTAATATAGTAACCGAGAGAGAACTGATTAGCAACAAGAATATATACTAAGAGATGGTATTCATAAGATGTGGGGTTCAGATCTCAATCAAGAATCAAGAAAGATGTACTCATTCACAATTAACTAAGGGCTTTGGCACTATACGTATCTCTCTAATATGTATTCAAGTTATAGTCCCCGAAAGGGGCCACTCGATATACCTTAATTTAAGATAATATTTGAAGCCGCTTAGGCAATGCTTCAACCAATGGAAAGACTAGAACCTTCCTTGGTGAAAGAAGTTAGGACCAAGTGAGCTATAATACTAGAGGTAATATTTAGTGTTTTAAACTTGGTCTTTGCTAGCCGTTTTGGATACGTCCACCTCCTCGTGGTGGTTGACTTCCTCATGATGGATTTGCTTCTCGACGGCTTCCGTCGCGGCGTGAGCACGCTCGTCGTCTTCGAACACTGTTTTCAAGATTAGCATATGGTCCCAGTCAAGGAAACTTAGGGTAGTCTTACAGAAGGCAAGCTCTTCTAGAGTACGGCCCGAAGTCTCGGGCCAGAGGAAATAAATGAGAATGGCCTCGACGGTAATCCAACAGCAGTACACGATTAAGAACTTCCAGCCAATGCCGGTAATTGGGTCCAAACCAACAGGGTTCACGTTGGTGCCGAAGAACTGCGTTCGAGTTAGCGGGATTGGTATAAATAAAAGCATATTCTCGTGAATCTTACCTGGGAGGCTTTCCCGAAGAACTGGAAGATTGAAATTCCACGAGCTCTCATGGCATACGGGAAAATCTCGATAAGGTACGCTAGAAGGTCATGATTAGCAAATATTTCTCATATGGAAATCTTAGTACTTACTGTATGTCAGAGCATTGAAACCAATGTTATAGGCTGGTTGGTATACGTAGATCCAGAACAAGCAGAGTTTACCCGCAGCTTTTGAACCTCCCACGATAGCCTCTGCCGCGGAGATAGTCCATGCTACATAGATCACCAAGATTCCAATGATGGACGTCAAGTACATTGTTCGCCGGCGGAATCTCATTACCAAAAGTGCGGTAAGTACGGCACAGACTAAACCCCAGACCTGGTTCCCGATATTGTATTTGGCCTGGAAGCTAGGGTCCGTGAAGCCGATCAGGTTAAGGATATCGCCCAAGTAGTAGGAGATAACCACATTTCCGGAAAGTTGCGACATAACTCCTACGAGCGAACCTATAACCACACGTCTTCGGTTTCCTGCTGTGCTGAACATGTCCATCCAGGAGCGCTTCGAATGTTCCATCTCAATGTCAATAGTAGTTTTAATCTCGGCCATTTCTGCCTTGGCGAACTCCGAATTCTCGTCACCCTCGGCATGGTATGTAACTAGGATTTTGAAGGCTTCCTCATATCGCTCCTTGCTAATCAAGAATCGAGGACTTTCGGGTATGAACCTGAGAGAGGTTAGTAAGGAAGACCGCGGCAAATAAGCTACAAAACTCTTACAGAATCAAGGCGACTTGTAATATAGAGGGCGACATTTGAAGAAGGGAAGGAACTCTAGTATATACGCGTTAGAACAGTCGGTAGTCTAATATAATATCAGGGTATCGATTACCTCCAGGACCTAATAGGAAAAGTTTGTTAGACTTAACACACGATAGTAGGAATTCATAACAATAGACTTACCAGTCCGACGGGATTTGCTGAGTTCCATAGGTTATAGACGAAGCCACGATAGCACCGACGAAGTAGGCCGCGTTGAACAGGGATGTCAGAATAGCACGCTCTTTAGGATACGCAAGTTCTCCGATCAAACTTGATCCTGCAACAATAGCATAGGGAAGTCCGAACCCAATGATAAGCCGAGAGACAATATACATTGCGCCTTCAATCATGGTCAGTTCGAGGGAACTATAGCAGTCCCGTGTCACTTTTTCACGTACCGTTGACAGAGAACCCCTGGATCAAAGACCCGATGATCATTACTACACTACCAAACATCACACACCATCGTCGACCTAGGTTATCGTTGAGGAGCGGGATGAAAGGAAGACCGATGACGGAGCCGAGCGGTAATGCCGAGGCCAAGATGCCCTTGTAACCACCCGTTGGATGTCCGAAATCTACAATCCGTCCGTGATTAGCTCCCGTTCCTGACCGCTCTGGCTTTGCTTGCCTGAAACTTACAGTTACTCCACGCGGGAACTAGCTGGACGGCGTTAATGATTTGTGAATCGAATCCGGAGGTCATTTCGATTCCCATCAAACACGGAAACAACATGAAGTACAGGTAGCGCAAATTCCTCTTCTTGTGCCATGGGACAGTATCCTCCATCGCCATGCGATGGACGATATTGTCCGTCTGAACGCCGCCGCCAACCATCTTGTCGAACTGTTCTCACGAACCGAAAATAATTGATCGGGGTTAATTTTCGCGAAGAGAGACAAAGTCCGATGAGACAAGTTCCGGTCTCTGAACTCCAGTGCTGTCTATCCTACGGAGTCGGGCCATGGTGGTGTACTCGCTCATATATAACTAAAGGCTTTTAACTCGGACCGATTGTTCCAGTAGGATTCGGCGGTTAATAAGGCAATATCAGCTTATACCTAGATTGCGCGCAAATCACGAGAGGTCGCGAGTAGCTATAGCCATTTTTCTATTTAGCCGCCAAGCCTGATTTCCAGACCCTCTGGTAAAGTACCAACCGAAGGGCACAGCAAATGGAGACCCCGGAATTTCATAACTTGTGGTCAGACAGATAGACTCCGATTCGCCAACTAGGTTCCATCGCCACGTTCCATTTCTCCATGGTCGAGGTCGTTCGAGAAAAGGCCCGGAACAGTAAGATGGCCCCCCGCAATATCCCACACGACATCCGCAATACCCCCCATAACCCCATGGGCAGGGCTGCCATGCAAAGCTCTCAGCCTGTCACAGTTCAGCTATTACCTTGGCATCAGGCGAAGGGCCGTTTTGGACCCGGCTCGGCGGATAGTGCAACCGAAACTCTTTATCACTCTATTATAGACTTGGGGGTGTTGTACAAATATGGATTTGCCGACTCGACGAACTTGTACGTATTAGGAACTTCCGAGAACCCTTATTTTCTTTAGACTGTATAAGAGTTCTGCACTAGAAGGACTCCTGTTGCGTTTACGTAGAAAATATCTTCAAAGGTAAGGAAAGTTGTCGTTATCTTGAGTTTCCATATATAGGTACTGTGCCGTACCGACATGCGTCAAAAAGCATGTAACCTCGCCTGAGCAAAAGCCGCTTTTCGCGATATTCAACTGGGTTACGGTCGTGTAGTCCTTCGGACCTATTTCCATCGGATGCTCCCACACTTGGCGTTGCACAGGATAAGCATTCATATACTCTTAAAGTAATAGTGCTTGAAGACGTCAATAAGTAGGATAGCAAGTGGAGTTGAAAGTAAGGTAGGGACTTAATTATTGTTAACAACGTAAATGTCAACTCCGAAAGCCATTCTCTCTTAGGTAGACTAATTAGTTATGCTACCCTGAAAGCCTCTCACTGTAATAATTTTAATATTAGGCTACGAAGAGACAGTAGCTTGTTAATCCTTACGACTCCATCTATGACATCCAGTCCATGAATATACCAATACGTGCTAGCCCTGATACGACGCACCTCATCGCGCTCTTCGGGCACAGTGCTTAGATGGTCCGAAATATTTCAGATAACCTGTTTATATTATATTGAAAGCAAGTGTTTTTTAATACCTTAGTAAAGCGTTTCCTTCGTAATGAATCTCAGGGTCATATGAAATAGGTCCCAGTCCAGAAACCGTATGTCCCCGATTACCAGCCATTCTTTATTAAAGTAAATTCCACCAGGGAAAGCCAATAGATATTACCCGAGTTATTATGATAATGATAGAAATATATTACCTAAGTCCCGTATATCAAGGCCATGTATTCATATTCTACTCACGGCTTACCCTAAAAGTATTATGCGCCGACCTGACTCAACTCTTTGCGTTCGAAACCCGCAGTTAGCCGTATCGGTGGTTGATTCTTAATGCGGTTTCTAGTTCGAACACACAAATTCTTTATTAACGAGTATAGCAATTAAGTACTTCCTCTTAGCCTCTTATAATAGTTGACAATTTTCCGCCTGATACACCAATGCATTTCTAATCTCTATTGAAGCGATACTCCTCGCAGTTTTTCTTTGTTATATAATCAATACACAGGATGTATTTATTATTAGTTCTGATAATAGAGCCCAAGAGAGCCCCAACCCCTAACCTTCAGCCTCCAACTTCCTCATATCGCTTACTTCTAAACCAGTGTCAACCAAGCCCAACACGCTCACATCGCTTTCAGGTACGTATTAGTTACTACCGCCGACAAGCATTTGCCCCTCCCTTTATAGCCACAGTTCCACAGTAGGTCCTCCATTCCAAAATTCTGGATGGTAAGAGAACCGAATCGAAACCACCAGAATACGTTAACCAGTAAGTTTAGGTAAACGTACGCCATTGTATTGGCCGATTTTTGTCGCGCAATTGTCTAATTGTTCATAAGCGGTTTCCTTGAGATCGTGCGTCGAAACGAGTCTCAGGCCGTCTTTGCGGAGCTGATGTTGAAATCGTACGCTGCCTAGCTGTATAAACGTGATTCCAAACACGAACAAAAATATATGTGCCACATCCCGGGGAGTAGGCTGTGTACTTCCTACTACATCTACTCGTCTCCGACGCCAGTCTATGTGAAAGGCACTGAGGTGTTCGAGAAGGGCGTCTCGCACGCTTTGGATATGAGAGGAACCTACCCGATCTTGATACACACGGGTAGGTGCATTTGCGATATATTCGGCTTCATGAAAAGGAAAGTACGGATAGCTGATGAAACACAATTGGTCGCGCGCGCTGTTTAAGCGATCCGATGAATCCAGATCTTCAAAATGGTACAGATCCCATACTAGGACTTTCACCTTATACTCAAAATATTGAGAGTCCATAATTTTTGCTATAGTAACGCGTCCCCCCGCTGGTGGTAATGGGTATGATAGTGGTGCCATATAGGGACTGTCCCCCTCTGCGGTCTTGATCAATTTCGACATAACGCTTCGACAAGAATATAAAGCCTTTGAATGGCTGATGATTAGCTTAATGACCAGGAAACGGTTGCGTATAATTTATCTCGATTTCAAAGTAGACTGGCTTTTCGTATAAGAATAGAACCAAAGCTTGACGATGTTAGGCCTGAATATTGCGTTGTTGGTGATATTCCTTAGTTATGCTAGTAGCTAGATGTGGACTATGTATCGCGATAGAGATCTTAATAAAAATTGCCTAAGTTAGTCCCATAACTTAGGTAACTAGGTACTCTTACCTTCCATGTACGGTATATAGTTTGAAGCTATTATAGAACTCTTAGCCTAGCAGAAGGAACTATCATAGATGGAGTTTGATATCCTATTAGATTGCATTTCAATGATATAATTATACCTAGGTACCTACATAAGAACAACAGGCACAGAAACTTATTATTCATCTCACATATTAATTAAGTATTCTGTCAATATTATTTTATAATATATTATTAACGCCGATTATGCACAAGAGTTACTCGTGAGGAAATCAACGTGTTATGTACCTCTTAAGTCTAGGTAAATACCACCATCAATTTATAATTAAGCGGTAATCGTCTAGGAATTTGACAATCTTGAACACGTTATTACCCATAATATGGAACTGATATCAACGGCGGTAAAGACAATAATTACTTAAGCCTCGAAGAGAAATTGAAAGTGTTCCAACTATCATAGCTAGGTGATGGTGTCCGTGGGAACCCCGCATCGCGTACAAGAATAATTCGTGGCAACATACAGCTCCGATCATTCACATCCATAGCCTCATAGATCTAATGCAATTGGCAATTGAAGATTTAGAGCTTATCAACATAAGGAAGTCTAGTATAATACCATTAATAAGTCTATATTTCTCTCATGGCTCTAGAGCAAGGTACAATTCCCATGGTAGACTTTGGTGCATGGTCGAAGGGCTCGACGGAAGACAAGAAACGCATTGGCCGGGAGCTAACTGACGCATGCCGTCAGGTTGGCTTCGTATACATCGTCAACCATGGTGTGCCGAGTGATATACTCGAGGAAGCGTTTTGTTGGTCGAAGAAACTCTTCGATCTTCCTCAAGAAAAAAAGATGATGGCTCCTCACCCACCAGGCAGGTCTTAGTCCTCAAGTCAACGAGCAAATTGTTGAACAAATAATTTAGGCCCTACTGTCCACCGAGGATATTCGTGGCCAGGTCTAGAGAAAGTGTCGCAGGATATCATCAAGGATGGCGACGAAACAAAAGAGGCTGAGAACCGAAAAGTCTCGGATTTTAAGGTGAGCTTCTCACTTAACTTGTCGAGTGAACAAATGTTAAATCTTGAATAGGAGAGCTATGAAATTGGTAGCGAGGAGTCTAAGACACAGCCGAATGTCTGGCTACCCGGAGACGTCCTCCCTGGTTTCCGCGAATTCACGACGCAATTCTACTGGAAATGTTTCGGGGTGGCGAACGATTTGTTGCGCGCTTTGGCAATCGGCGTCGGCCTAGAAGATGAAGACTTCTTTCTGCGCTTCCATAGCGGAATTAACAACCAGCTACGACTACTTCATTATCCATCAATTGAAGCAGAGAAGCTTTCTAACAATGTCGTGGCACGAATGCCGGCCCATTCGGACTGGGGGACGATCACGATGCTTTTTCAGGACGACTGTGGGGGGTTACAAGTCGAGCATCCTGGTGCGTCTGGTCATTTTTTTGACGCGACGCCGATGAAGAATGTAATGGTTCGTGTCTTTTCTGATGGTCAGTGCTCCTTGATAAATCAACTAACCGTAAACTTCAAGACTTCTTAAAGTCGACTCTTCACCGCGTCACCCTTCCACCAGTCCAGGATAATATACAGATCAACGGAAAACTCATAACTAAGTCGAGATATTCGATTCCTTACTTCGTCTCACCAGATGAGAAATCTGTTATCGAATGCTTATCCGTCTGTACAGATGAGGAACACCCCATCAAGTATGAGCCGGTCGTGCAGGAAGATTACCGACGAATGAGGGCTAGAGGACAGTATGTGGAAGCAGCTGGCACTTCGGTACCAGTTTCGTAATACCGAAATTACGATGTTGAGTTGATGAGCGTCGAGCAGTACTTAACGAGAAACCTCCTAGGAAATTGTAACGGGAGGGTATTACATTGATAAAAGGCCAAACCAACTCGGCAGGATTGCCATTAGAACACAGAGTTGAAAGAGCTATCCGAAATTTCGAGAATGAATATAAACAATGTTAGATGCACATAATGTACCTAGTCAATATTGAGTACAGGCAAATACGCGTAAATCGTGATAAATTCCCTATTGTTTGCAGTATCCACAAGTACCTTCCGATCGCTGTAATGCCGTTCCAAGGACTGCAGGAGATCTCAGCGAGTACGAAGTACATTGTGATAAGTACTTCTTGCACTCCCCAGTTCTATACACAGGTACCTAAACACCCAATCAAATTAGCCCCCAACTCTTCAAGCCAATTACAATTTTCTTTTCCTCTAGGGCTGTGTTTAAGCGCTGAGTTTAGCGCCTATCAAAACAGCGTAGCGCTTGGCCACGCAGTCTTCGATCCCGGCGCCATCTCGCAAAGTCAATAGGGTCCCGTACAACTGTCCAGCTTCATTCATGATTGGATAAACCTCATCGACGCCGAGTAGCCGGGCGAAGCTGTATAGCAGCACAGGACATCCATATGCAGCTTGATCGCCCCTGAGAAGATGGCGGCCAAAAAAGCGACCATTCGTCGATCACGTCTCAAAGACGTCTTCCAGCTTTGCTCATTTACCTCTCCTCCATGATATCGAAGTTTCCCTTTTTAAAAGTATTTATCTAGAGTCGTCAAATATATGAGGAATCCATCTTAGCTATCTTATATTAGTTATTGTTGTACGATCCATGTCTATTACACATATGTAAGTGCGAAATGAATGCGGGGCTTATGGGACGTTGACGATCCTTCGCGGTTAACTTCAACCGCAACCATAACCGCCTCAACTTATCCGGTCTTGTGCTGATTCTAAACTAACACGGCAAATAATAGTGTCTAGGACTCGTCTTTCTATAGCTTGATTTGAATACCCTCTGTATTAAGAAGCTTAAGGATCACTGTGCGGCAATGTCTGCTCATTACTATCCCCGTATGTGGTCGTTTAGTTAACTAATACTCTTCAGCTTTGGCTTATATAGCTAACATTAATAATCTAGCGCCTCCCAGCACCAATGGCCCAACAGGTATGTTTTCATAGTCGGATTATAGACTTGTGCCAGTACTGGTAAATTGACAGAAACAACTGCAGCATCACAGATAAACTACCAAACGCCTACATCCCCTCCTGCGAACAAGTCCAAATTCTACCCGCCACCACCAGGCACACCTAGTTACGCTCCACCACAGGCTCATGGTCAGAGCTATCATACACCTCCGCAACAAATATACACAGCTCCTTCACAACAACAATATTCTGCGCCTCCGCAACAGGGCGTATCTCCACCACCCAAAGCTGGAACACCTATCTACCAACCTCCGCCTCCTCAGCCAGCACAACATGGAGTCCTACCGATTCGAAATGAAGGTGCTCTCACGCCACCAAGTGGAGCCGCGCCCGCATATGGGGATATAGTACACAATGCTCCAGAGGGTTTCCCGAACGAGAAGGCACAGAGTATTCTAGGAACGGGACCGGCGCATTCGCGGACAGCATCAAATCCCGTGGCAGCACCTCCGCCTGCGCCTGCGCCTGCGCCTACAGCCGCGCAATTCCAAGGCGCCGCCGCGACTTTAGATGATGTGGGGACATTCAATGGCGGCTCATACCGCATCAGTCATAGGGACTGTAATACGATAATCACGATCCAACTGGCAATGGGATGTCCGATTGCCGCGAAACCAGGAGTGCTGATCGCTATGAGTCCTACTATCACGCTGAAGGGCGAGTACAAGTTTAGCATGAAGAAATTGATGGCCAGCGGCAGCGAATTGGGACACTCGACATTTATCGGCCCCGGCGAGCTGCTACTCGCGCCCGGCATGCTCGGCGACATGACCACCATCCGCTTGACGGGAGAGGAATCATGGAGCGTTGGTAAAGACGCCTACGTCGCTAGCACTCAAGGTGTCATCCGCGACTACAAGCGCCAAGGACTCGGCAAGGCCATGTTCAGCGGGGAAGGTTTATGGGTCCACAAGATCAGTGGTGTTGGTCTGCTCTGGATCACGAGTTTCGGCGCAATTATCCGCAAGGATCTTGCCGACGGTGAGAAATACATTGTCGATAACGGACATCTAGTTGCGTGGAATGTTAAATATGTTATGGAGCGTGTAGCTAGCGGTGGCATCATGGGAGGACTTGCTAGTGGAGAGGGATTGGTCTGTAAATTCACAGGACCTGGCACTGTGTTCCTCCAAACGAGAAACCCGGTAAGTATTTCCGTTTTTCTCATCCTCTTTTGCTCTATGTTCGATATCTCTGGGCTTTCATCGACTAATATGTTGTGTAGAGAGCATTCAGTGCCTATATGACGGGCAACGCGGCACCGCCATAAAGGCGTACACTAACGAAGCTACCATTCAGCTAAAAATTGATGTTTCTACCGCGGATTTTAGGAACGAGATGTTTCCAATTGTGTTCTTATGAAAACTACCTGTAGCGTTTGGGGATTCATGAATTGAATATGTACTTTATATGTTCCTCTTGCCTTCAATAGTTAATGGGCATTTGTAATGAAATAAGTTTATTCTCAGAGCTTAAGCAAGAAAACATTAGGTACCTACATAAGGTAGTTAGCAATCCGTTTTCTCTAACTCTACCAAACAGCCTTATGACTCTTTAATATGTCCTTAAATTAGGCACAAAGGAAACACGGTACATTACTCACGTCAATTTTGTTGGCTAAGCTGTTTGCACTATTCTTTTGATAGTCTTTTTAATTGAAGTCTCGATTTGCGAATAGTACGGTGTAAGTGGGGTGTACCCAATACATCTAGCTGACTTATCTGATAAGTCGGCACTTATGTACCTATGTACCTAATGCTTGTGCCTAAGGTTCATGTTAGAATCTCTTTGGGTATATGTTTGGTATCTACACGTATATATCCCTTTTATTCATACCCATATGCCTCAATCAATTCTGTAGTTCAAAATATCGGCTGTCCAACTTAAGCATATAACTCTTATCTAGTCTTACGCCAAGTTCATCTAAAGTAACCATCCCATCCCCTACCCCACTCGGGAATAAAGAGGCTACATCTTAAGAGCCAACATGGCGCAAGCTCAGCTCCTCGAGGGCCAGTCAGGCCTGCCCGTCGATAATCCGACGAAGTCGTATTGGCACAAGGAGCCTTCGAACAAATTGTTAGGCCACCGAACGACAAAGGAATTGCCCCGCTCCGCCGATGTGGTCATTGTAGGGAGCGGCATCACGGGGAGTTTTGCCGCTCATTTCTTGAAAGAAAAGCAGCCTGATCTGAATGTTGTCATGGTTGAGGCGCGAGAGGCTTGTTCGGGAGCTACTGGCAGGGTGAGTAGAATTAATATTTTTATTCTAAGTTGAGAGTAAGGGCTGTTGTATTACATAGGACTCCGAATTGGATGTCCTGTTTAATCCCTTGGCTAAACCCTCTCCTTATATTCCCCCTTTTCCTCTATGAAAATGTATTAGTGAAGAGACTTCTCGTAGCTCGACTGCATAATACCACTCTATCTCACGTCTCATCTCATCTCGTCTTACTATCTACTTACTGACTATAAATCCAGAACGGGGGTCACTGCCAGCCCGCAATATACGCCTCAGAACCGCACATCGCCTCGTTCGAGCTACGCAACTTTCTGTATCTCAAAAGCCTAGTTGAAGAGTACTCGATCCCGTGTGACTGGCGGTCGACAAGCGGCGTGCATGCCTTCTACTCGGGAAAGCTATTCAAGAAATGCCGCGCAATCGTCGAAGACCTCGCGGAACACTACCCGGACCTAGCCGCCAACGTAGCCGTTGTGACTAAAGGCAAAAAGGGCGAGGGTGACCTCTCAGGAAGTCCGGCTTACCTTATCGAGGGCGAGCGGCGGGAACTCACACTTGACGGCCTAAGGATACCCCACGCCGAAGGCGCTATCGTGCAATGGAACGCCGCGAGTCTATGGCCGTACAAGCTCGTCGCGTTCGTGCTAGAGCGTTTACTCGCAGCCAACGAAGAAGGATCCAAAGGGTCATTCAACCTCCAAACCAACACTCCGGTCACAGGACTTTCCCGAGCCGAAATATCAGCCAACCTCAGCAGTCCCGGCGGTAATAAAACCCCCCAACACAACTCCATATGGACAGTCCACACCCCGCGCGGCACAATCGCCACCTCCCAAATCCTCCTCGCAACCAACGGCTACACATCCCACCTCCTCCCGCAATTCAGCGACTTACTAACCCCTACCCGGGGGCAAATCTCCGCCCTCAAACCCCCCGAAACACCCACCGACCCAGCAGACCCGCCCCTAGATATCGGACATACATACTACATCGTCGGCGAGCCGGTCGACCCCTACGCCCGCGACGACTACCTAGTCCAGCGGCCGCCCCCCACCGCGGAGCTCATCTTCGGCGGCGGCCGCCAACATGCCAAAGGGCGGGGTATGGGGGTATGGGACGATAGCAGTATCGACGAGGCCGTATCATGGTATCTGCGCGGGGAGCTGTCCAACGCTATTGATTTATCTCTGCACCATGCCCCCTCAGGGGAACATAAACCCCCCCTCGGAAAACTCGACCTAGAGCCTACTTTCGAATGGAGCGGCATAATGGGATACACGCGGGACGGGCACCCGTGGGTCGGGCCCGTCCCTCCTAGTCTAGGCGGTGGACCGGGACTCTGGCTGTGCGCGGGGTACACGGGGCACGGGATGCCGAACGCGGTGTTATCAGCGCGCGCGGTGGTCGATATGTTACTCGCTGGAGACGGCGATGATCCCGTGGAGATCGATCTTCCGCCTGAATACGAGCTTACGGAGCGGCGCGTAGATGACGCTCGGGAAGAGGAGGAAGTCCGTGTTGCGGATGCTAAGGGTAGTTTGTACATGGACTTTGGGCCTCGGAGGGGATAGAGAGAGGAAATACTATGTATCTATGCGTTGGGAAATGTTATGGTGCAGATACGCTGGTGTACCTAGTTGACATATATCTAACCGATCAGGATACAAAAATAGTGATCTTAGAAGAGCCATATGTGTGAATATCGAATGTCAAATTCATCATGGTTCCTGATTCTTGCGGCTACCTACTAGCTACCAACGAATCC